TTTGTTCCTGTACTTCCTCTGTAGAAGAAATCCATTCCTGTTCTTCTTCCATTGTAGTATATTAAACTCAAAAAAAAGAAACTTACAGTCAGAAAGTCCACCAAATGGGGAGCTGAGCTGAGTTTTTTGCAGATGGTGTTTCAAGGTTGCTTTATATCTTATCTATTTTCAAAGCTGTCAACAAGTCTCTTGAAGAATAGCAGGTTACGTCTCAGAGTTAGTTGGATCTTTTTAGTCCCCCCCCTCTATTTTAAGGGGAAAAAACCCAATCTTCAATAGTAATTAGAGTGAAAATCAGAGAAAAAAAATATAGAGAGTACAAAGTTACAAATCTTATAATCCGCCAATTTTAGGAAATAGAATTCCAATTAGGATCCTAGTATTTTTCCAACGTTTTAAACTCCCGAGTGGTTACTTGCCGCTGTTTCTGGAGGGAGGGCTAGAATCCCCCTTCCCTCACCACAGGGGGGAAAGTACTTTAGCAGCTTATGCAGGTAATTAAGTAATTAGGATGTAAGAGAGGCAAACCTCACCCAGTCCTGTCCACGCTGCTTTGAAGTTGCCAGATGGTAATGTGACTTCGGCTGTTAGCAGCCTAGGGACGAGCCATATTTCTATGGCCGGTCCTTTCGTCCGCCGGTTTGGAGGGATCACCTGCTCTGACGGGAGAGTTGCTGCTCTCCCGCGATCCAGCGAAAGCCCTTCCTTGCTGGTCGCCTCTTCGGGGCAACTTTCGGCCCTTTTCAGGGGCCCCCCAGTGATGCAAAACTGAATGGGGGAGAGAGAGCAAGTCTCCCAGCTGTCCATGGCGGCCGCGTGACGAACCGGAAGCCTCCTAAAAATTCTTATAGTCCTTATCTATAGTCTCTAGGTTCGTAAGTTCTCTCAGGAAAAAGGTAAACAAAAAAAGGAAAAAAAATTATAGTCCACTTCTGAAGATAGAGCCCATTTCCGAAAGCTGTTTCAATAAATCAAGTTGATAATCCATAGACCCTCTCCAAGACATTTCTCCACTGTTTCAGTTTCCACTGTCCATAGGTAGGTCTAGAAACCAATGTTTATAATTTATAATCCACTGGGCTCTCCCAAGCCAATGGGAGAGATAAGAAGAGGGGGAAAAATGAAAAAAAAAATTATCCCAAGGTCCAACTTTACCCCTGTGCCAAAAATTAGTCCAAATTATCTTGCTAGCAGAAGTTCCTTAGCTCAGTCTGTCTTTAAGTGGCTGTAAAAATCACAATTCAAACAATATTTATAATCCAAAGGGAGGGGACTCACTTCCAAAAACAATTATTCAGCATCTAAAGTTGCCCCTCATTCAAAATTTATTATCCACCAAGACCTACGATTTGGATTAATAGTCCATAGGCCTTCTCCAATAGGTTTTTCCACTATTTCAGTTTCCACTGTCCATAAATAGTTCTCCAGTCCAGCATTAAGAATTTATAATCCACGCTCACTCAGTCTTTAGGCAGCTTGTAAGATCGCAGTTCAAACAGTACTTATAATCCAAAGAAAAAACCAGATGGTTTCAAAGTAGTTTATATCTTTTAGTTATAATCCATCCTGCAAAAAAAAAAAAAAAAAAAACCCAGCCCAGAGAAAGCCTTCTATTTTCAGCTATAATCCACAGGACTATGAAGGTCAGGCACATCAAACATCAAAGAGTTTAAACTGCAAACTATGTCTGGGCATCTAGCCAAATTCTAGGTTTCTAGACAAAATATAGATAAGTTCAGTAAATGATTTAGTGTAGTTCTTTGCTCTTGCCACTAGATGTCCTCAGATGCCCATTTTGTAATTTTCCAGTTAGTTTAGAGTTAGAAAAAGTTTAATCCAATATTCTCCTGCAATAATATAGAATAATATAAAAAGAAGAAAAAATTTAAAACTCCCCAAACTTTTCTTTTTTTCTGTTTCTCTCTGTTATATTTACAATGATGTTTTAGACTTCTCTGTTTCCTCCAAATCACTTAAACCGCCGCCTTTTTCTGGAGGGAGGGATAACCCCCCCTTAACTCTGGGAAATTGCTTTGGGATGTTTTTTCCCCCCAGAACAGGTTCTCACATTGTAGAAAAAAAGGAAAATAGTCCCACCCCAGTCCAAAATGTTGCTCATGCTTGTTTTAACTCGCTTTTCCTCCCGGCTGTCAACAGCTTCTGACTGGCTGTGTAGATGGAGCCAGTCTTTCTCCTGCCATTCCTGAGGGCTCCTTGGATCAAGCAGGTCGGCTACCACCTTCCCGCAATCTGCAAGGGTCCCATCTTGGTCTGTCACCTCTACGTGGTGACTTTCAGTCCTTTTTGGACCCACAACAGGCCAAAACTGAGGGTGGGAATCAGAGCCCTGATTTCCTCCGCCCGCCTCGCCACGCGACGGAACTGGAAGTCCGTCTTTTGCAGGGTTTTTTTGGGGGGGGTATGTTGTGCTATAATTTTTTTGTGTGAAGACTGATGCAAAGAATGAGTTAAGCAGCTCTGCTTTCTCCCTATTGCTTGTTACTTCCTTGCCATTTTCTCTCTTTAGTGGACCTACAGTTTCCTTGACTTTTTCTTGTTATTAATATGCTGAAAGAAACTTTTTTTTATTGTCCTTGATTTCTGTTGCATGTCTTTGTTCATTCTGAGCCTTTTCTTTCTTGACTTCATCTTTGCACGTTCTGGCTGTCTGCTGATAATCAGCCTTAGTTATGTGTCCCTCTTTACATTTTTTGTACTTGTCCTTTTTGTCTTTCAGTTTGTCTGAGAGATCTTTGTGCAGCCATGCTGGTTTCTTCTTGACTTTCTTGTTTTTCTTTTTCAGTGGTATTGTGCTGGACTGGGATTTTATGATCATATTTTTCAGAGTTTCCCATGCTTCTTGAGTTGTTTTCCCCTTTAGGATTTTCATCCATGGAATCTTTCCTGGGTTCTCTCTGAGTTTGTTAAAATCAGCTCTTCTGAAGTTTAACACACTGGTTGCATTATTTTCTGTTGCTTGTGTTTGCATTATGTTGAATTCCAGTATGACATGGTCACTTTCACCCAAGGTTCAGGCAACTTCAACTTGCTCTGTCACTTCTTCTCTATTAGTAAGAATTAGGTCCAATGTAGCCTTGCTTCTAGTTCCCTCCCCTACCTTTTGGATGACAAAGTTGTCAGCTAGGTTGGTTAGGAATCTGTTTGATCTCCTGCTTGCTGCAGAGTTTGTCTCCCAGATGATATCTGGGTAGTTGAAGTCTCCCATTACTACTGTGGTATGCCTCCTACATGCATTTGTTAACTGGTTGGCAAAGAGTTCATCTATTTCTTTTGATTGGTTGGGTGGCCTGTAGTTTACCCCTATGGCAATGTCACTTTTCCCCCCTTTTATATTAACCCATACACATTCTGGAGAAATTTTATCTTCGATCATGTGCATTTCTGTAGATATGTAGTGTTCTCTTACATATAGTGCATCTCCCCCTCCTCTTTTTGTAGACCTGTTTCTTTTGAACAATTTGTATCCATCAGTCCATTCCATTCATGGGTTTCGTCCCACCTTGTTTCTGTAATGCCAACTATGTCATACCCTCCCTTGTGTACTATTGCTTCTAGTTTGCCCTGTTTGTTCCCCAAGCTTTGAGCATTTGTATATAAGCATTTAAGACTTTTATGCCTGTCCGTGGGTATGTTTCCTGCATCTCCTGATTGTTGTGTGAGTTTTTCTTTTTTCTCATCACTGCCTACCTCATTGTTTGATTTGTTTTCTTGGGATTTATGATTGGTTTGGGGTTCTAAAGATTCTAAAGATTGGTCACCCTTCCCCCTCAATTTTAGTTTAAAGCCCTTCTGATGAGTTGGGCCAGTCTTTTTCCAAGTACATTTTCCCGTTTTCATGAGGTGCAGCCCATCCCTTGCCAAGAGTCCTTCGTGTAGGAAATGCAGTCCATGGACCAGGAAACCAAAGTTTTCTTGGCAACACCAACTCTTTAGCCAGTGGTTTATTTCTAGAATTCTTTTTTCCCTCACTGGGTGTTGGCCTTTCATTGGGAGTACAGATGAGAACACTACTTTTATGGTTGGTGGATGTGCTTTGCTGTTAGCCATGCTTCTACCTTCTCTGTTCTACGTAATTATGCCTATTTTTTTTTCTATCCTATGTTTTGCAAATCAAAATAGCTTCGGTTTCCTTTTTCCAAGAGTCTGCTGTGTGGTTGCCATTCACAGTCCCCGGTCTACTGGTCTGCTTCTGTTTGTAGTCCCCAGTCTAGTGGGCTGCTGCCGTTCGCAGTTCCCAATCTACTGCCGTCTACAGGCCCTGATCTACTGTTATTTGTAGCACCCAGTCTACTGTGCTGCAGCGTTCCACCACCCTCACCAACAGCTCTGCAGCCATGTGGTTCCTGTTTGCTGGTCCGTAGCACTGGTGTTCTGCTTCCTTCAGCAAACAGGGCTGCCTGGATGGTTCACAGTAAGCTCTCCTCTTCTCTCCCTGGCTGGCTCTCCTCCCTGCTCCACTATCTCACCAGCTCGCCTGTTTCTCCTCTCTGCTGGTCATTGCGCTGCCCTCAGTTGGCTTTCCTCTCTACCCCACAGTTGATTCTCCTCTCTGCTCCACAGATCTTTCTTCTCCTTTTCTCTTCTCCAGTCTTTTTTATTTTTCTGACTTTCCCTCTCCACCTCTCCTCCTACCGTTTTGTCTTAGTTTAAGATAACTTAGTTTAATAGCAAGTTCTCTTCCCACGATGTAACTATGCTTCCTCTGTGAGGAAGATTGGGAACATGCAATTAAAAATAACATAGGGAACCATCTTATATCAAATGCAAACATTTGTCCTCCTGGTTTCATATTGCAGTTCTCCAGGCTTTCAAACAGGGGTCATACCCCATCACAGATGAAAATTGCATCTGCTTGCTACTGACCTGCAGCCCCATTCCCAGAAATGAAATAAATGATACAGTAGAAATGAAGTTTTAAGCCAGAATATGAGAAGCATTCATTTCCTGCCATCTGACTTCCCTGGCAACCGTATACTTACCCCAATTCCACCACACGGGAGGACAGCATACATCTTCTGACTAAGGGGACCTGCAAAAAGAGAAACAGAGAAGAGGAAAGGATACAGTATGAATGCCACATATCATATACCAGTTACATTGTACATAAGATTAATCCATTTCACTCACATTTTCATGTCTATTTCTACTGCCATAGAAAGAACTTCTAATCTTCATGAATACAGGATTCAATTGGGCAACTTGACCTTACCTTTTTATTGCCTATAGTGTGTTATACATCATCAGTTTAGTAGCCCACAATTTTGAAAAAGCATAAGCTCTAAAACAGCTAAACATGCATACATCAAAGAACCCCACCAGAATCTACCTAACCTCCCCTAAAAATTGAGACTCTACCCATTATGTTGAACATGCCCACATTGTTTTGCATTGCTGCCTCACTCATCTCACCTTCCAATGCTGGAAAGCACAGTCCCCTGCCATCAAAAGGTTTCCCATCTGATACAGAAGTTTGAAAAGGGAGACAGACTTTGTCAGACATTATGATATTAAAAGAAGGCCTATCAGATTGCCCTTCCTTATATGTAACCCTACATTTTCTGCCTTTACCATATACAGAGATAAAACAAAATTCTGTACATGTTTGAATTTTTTAAGAAAAGGGGGGGGGGAATGTTCTGCATCATGAAAATAGAATTACATGAAGCATTAGATAGTCTACCTAGTAATTTTTTGCTGTCAAGTTTTTGCCTGTTCAAGGAGCTTGTTCCATATAGTAATGTGTGATGTTCCGAATGGACAGCCTGGATCTCATCCAATGTTGCCTTCCGGCCTCGGATCCTCTAGTAACAAAAATGGGTGAAGACATTACAGAAAAAAACTTATAATATGAATTTTGAAAGTATTTTGAACAAGAATGCAATCTAATATCAGGTCATGCCTCCAGTTACAATTACCAACACAGATGTCCATGCTTTGGTAGTAAGGTTTACTCATTTCATGTCATTTTCAGTCTAGATATATTTCAAGCTAAGCATCTAAATGTGGACTAACAATCAAGCTTTTCTCCATCCCAGCCTTTTTCATATTTCATTTCAGGTTAAGAGTGGTGGGCAACTCTTCAGCTGTACACCCTCCACCTCCTGAACATTCACAAATGACTTAGGGCATTGTAACTGAAATTCATAAGCTCAGTGCGTCTTCAAAGACAAAAGTCAAGGATTGCTTTAATATTGTTCAATATTAAATGATTTTATGGAAAAAATGGGTTCATTTTTCTGGCTTCACTTTTCTATCCTGATCAGGCTTTGTTTTTTTAGTAGGACCCCTGACATACCACACAAATTCAATGTGTGGCCCCCTCCAGGCAAAAGCATTGCCCATCCCTACAATATAATTTCCTTTGTGGTCCCACTAGGATTTGCTTTGACGTATTTACAAGAAACCTTCTCCTGACAAGTGCTTTGTTAGCAGCATGACCCTGGGGATATTTCTCTACAATGCCTATATGATTATTCACAGAAACCTGTCTTGTACTAAGTCAGGTCACTGGTCCACTTGCCAAAGTACAGGGTTTTTTGGACTACCAACAGCCAAAGTTTCAGAAAAATATATTTTCATCACTCATTACCAGAGGTCCTACCTAAGAATTTGAGTGGAAAGTGGAATGGGCAGAGATGGCGAAACTTATAGGTTTTTTTCTATTTTTTATTTTATTTAAAAGAAAGTTAAAATACAAAACTCCAAAAAACTAAAAAAGACAGGAAACAAAAGAAAACACAAAACAATCAAGACATTAAAAAAGTGCATCAAAAAGATAAAAAACCCAACATGTATAGAGATATTATCTCCCCTAATTGAATACTGATTAATACATTACTACAATATTGGTTCCCACCCCTTGCAAAACAGCCCCCCCATTTTTAAACTAGTAAATCTATTTGCAAATTATTGACCTGTCTTCTATATATTATATTAATGACAAAATAGTTAACAGGAAGAAGAATAAAAAAAGACAGGATTAAAGTTTCAAAACTCTCTGTTAACAAACTGTTATTGTAATCCACTCATAGAAAGTTTGCCATGGCATCTTATCTATCCCAAATTGTCCCAAAAGTTAAAATTTATTCACCCTTGATCAAATACCCATGTTTCTTTCTTAACGCCATCTCTTATCAATTGTTGTCTAATTAAATATAATAGATTCAGTCTCCACAGTAGGTCTATCTTCCCAACAAAGTCCATATAGAAGTGGTTTCCAGTTAGGTGTCATACAGGTAGTTCTTGACTTACAACAGTTCATTTAGTGACCATTCAGTTACAACGGCACTGTAAAAAGTGATTTATGACCATTTTTCACACTTACGACCGTTGCAGCATCCCCATGATCATGTGATCAAAATTCAGATGCTTGGCAACTGACTCATACTTATGTGATCACCTTTTGCAACCTTCTGACAAGCGAAGTCAATGGGGAAGCTGGAGTCACTTAACAACCGTGTTACTAACTTAAGAACTGCAGTGATTCACTTAACAACTGTGGCAATAAAAGTTGTAAAATGGGGCAAAACTCAATTAACAAATGTCTCACTTAGCAACAGAAATTTTGGACTCAACTGTGGTCATAAATCAAGGACTATCTGTTAATCCATTCTCCAATTTCCCTCAGTCTTCATAGGAAAAAATCATTTATCACGTCCCCATTCAGTCAGACTCGTAGTATTGTAAGGATATGCAGGCTTAAACTTCAAAGAGACACATGGTCTCAACTCAGTTAGTTCTCCGGATGTGGGAATATTTCTTTTGTTTGCAACTTTCAGAACAGAGTCTTTTTGTATATCTTTATCCAAAACTACATGCCTCTGCATATTTTCCACGGCCTGTCATGTGTCTGAGTAACGAAACACTTAAAAGGACTTTCAGGCATGTTTTCTCCTAAAAGCATTTATTAAGATTACAATACGTCAGCACAGCATGGTGGAATGCTTAGATCTGCTTCTCTTCCGTTAGGCATAACATTCCAACCATTTTCCACTCCCTTATTTTAGGGTCATGGTTCACATCTTCCAATCAACTTGGA